ATAAATCAAAAGAAAAAATAAAAAATTCAAAGCGAACAATAAAACAAATGCATGAATTTAAACACGATAGGTCAATTACAAAAAATAGGCTTACGAGCATAAAAACTCATCACATCATCAAAAATCAAACTCAAAATTACATGCAAAGCCTAACCCTAAATAAGTCTCCAGTGGAGTCGTCATTTTGTCGTAGGATGACGTCGGGGGCGAGGGCGACGAATTTAGGTAAAAATAGAAAAATAGGTAGAAATGACTGGAGTCGCCACCTAGTTTTATGGTCACTAGGAAACCCTACTACTGGTCTATTCGAGTTCTTGATAAGAGATTTATTACATCCGGGGAAGATTTAAAACCAACCTACCTCATTTTGTCTAAGGCAAGCTGCATTGCATGCCACATTGATTCATTTTTTTTTATTTTTTAATGATGAAAGATCGTGCCTATTTTTAAAAATAATTTCTCCCTAATTGAGTGATTCGGGACTTGATCGATCGGAGATCTTATCCTCACTCTGTAATGGATGGCTAAAAATGATGAATGCAAGGATAGCAAAATGGATAAAATTGACAAGTGGACAAAAATGGATAAATAGGCAAAAATAATTAGACTTGGCAAAATGGGTAAACAAGCAAATAATGATAAAATTGACAAAATCGATAGAAATCAACGATTAGGAAAAAATAGGACAAAATTGGCAATTAGGCACAAATTGACAATTTATGCAAACAGAGAAAAAAATCGACCATTTAGGCAAACATAGGCAAAAATAGGTAAAAATTGACAATTTAGGCAAACATAGGCAAAAATCGACAATTTAGTCCAAAATAAGTAAAAATCGACAATTTAGGCAATCATTGGTAAAAATCAATGATTTAGGCAAAAATAAGTAAAGATTGGCAATTTAGGTAATCATAGGCGAAAATCGACAATTAAGCAAAATCGACGAAAATAGACAAAATGGGCAAAATCGACAAATCGATAAAATTAGTAAAAAGTCAAAAAATAGGCAAAAATCGATAAATAGGCTAAAAATTAACGAAAGTTGGCGATTGGGCCAAGACTCGAATCGACGCATTTCAAAGATACATGTTTCGAATAACGATAAACATAATATCGGTAAAAAAATCACCTTAGCTATTATAAGAGCACAAATGACTAAAACACACACATCGCAACATTGCTACTAAATTATGCATGAATAGCAAATCGGATTAATTACATGACACAATCACTTGATCAATTGCATACACATGTTAACGAGAATTAGATTTAATATATATTAAAATAAAATGAAATAAAAAGAAAGTTAAACAATGAATTACCGTAAACAAGAGGTGGATTACTTATTGAATCGAGATCCGCTTCGACTTTCTTCAACCCCGATGGTAACTACTATTTAGTCGATCGAGGAGGAGAACAAGTTGTTGGCGATCGGATCTAGCCGAACGACGACGAGGTGGCCGCCTGGAGGGAGCCTACCGATGTTCATGCGGGGCTAGCTGCCGCAAGTTGGGGGCTTGGCTATGCGCCGTTGCTACTCGTGTGCTCTGGGGGCTTGGCTTGACGTCGGGTGAGGTTGCGCACCGTTGCTCGCCGGCATTAGCGTGCGCGCTGGAGGCCGCCATCGGCGCTAGCATGTGCGCTAGTGGCTACTCGCTGCGGGCGCGTGTGGCATGGAGAGAGAGGAGCCGAGGGTTATGGCCGGTAGAGGCGTGAGTGGTGGTCTTGCATGGGTGAGTCGTGGCCGCCTCGGCTAATAGGGGAGGTTGCTTGTGTGGGTTGGTATGGGTGAGTGTTGTTGGCGTTGTGGCATAAGGGCTATAATGGGGAGGTCGGCGGTTAGGGTGAAAATTTTGAAAGATGGTGAGTAGTAGTTGGTGATTTTTGGGAGAAAGGGTGTTTTTATATTAGGTTTTTAGGATTTTTTAGCTAAAATCCGTTTTGGTCCCTCGTTTTACAAACCTATTTTATTTCGGTTCTTTTCTCTTTTCTTTTTTAATTACACCCCAAATTGTATTTTTTTACTTTTTTTTTCTTTTTATCTCTCTTCTTCTCTCTTCTTCTTCTTTTTTTTTCTTTTTTCTTTTTTTCTTTTTTTTTCTTTTTTTTTTTTTTTTGAAAAAATTGGTTGCTAAGAATAATATTTCACAAAACAATTTTTTTTTTTTTGTTTAAAGAAGAAGAATCTATTTAATGGTTAAGGATAACAATGTAATTTTGTTTGGAACTACAAAGAAATAAGTGAAAAATTGATATAGCGGTAAAAAAAAAGCTTGCCCTTGATAATAATTTGATTGGTTTAGTCACTCGTTATTGGGCCTACAAAGATTTGGAGTTGAACTATTGGAATCCCCCAGTAGGTGAGTAGTGAGTAAAGATTTGGTGTTTGCTTAAAATTAGATACATAGATGACGTTGAAATCTTTTCAAATTCTTTCTAGAATTTTATCTTCATTTTCCTTTTCAATTTAAGATATTAAATCCCATGCACACAAAGACTCCTCGTTTTATTTGAGCTGGGGGCGTTTGGGTGCATTTCGCCCAAATCTAGTGATGCTCATAATTAAGTTGAAACCAATAACCATCCAATTAATCATGAGTCAATAAAAAATAAGGTTTGGTCATAATTCATCGTATTTTAAATTGAATGTTTACAGAAAAAATGTAAAATTTAGAAGAAAAAAGACTCAATATAGGTTTTTTTTTCCTTCTTAAATGATTGTTCAAAATAATCGAAGATACCTTATGATTTATTGGATGTTTAGTTGAAAATTTATGAGTTACACGCTAAATGGTCATTGGGCATGGCTAATTCTTGGAAAATTTGGAAGTTTGAAAAGGTTCGAAATGATTCAGGCCACAATTAATTTTCCCTGCAAAAACTAACAACCTATTATTAGCAAGAAATTATCAAGAGTTGAAGCTTGTCTGATGCCTCATGCAACAGCATCAATTGGACTCAACATTTAAAATGATGTAAATAATTTATTTATTTTTTTAAACTTTAACACATCACATTATAAAAACAAATTTCAAAGGGAAAAAAAAAATCAACACATTACCGCAACCGTGAGTTTAACGAAGGCTAGTACATTAATGTCTTAAATCGTGTCTATATTGAGAAGCAATACAAGTTCACAGGGAAAAAACAAACAAGAGTAGAGTAGATTAAAACAAAGTAAGCAATTAGATTAATTAGACCCACCAATAGATCCCATAATCTCATGGTTCAAATTTTTTAAGACACTTATTTTTTATTGCAAAATAACATTAAATCTATTAAAAGCATGTTCCAATATTTTACATTATAAAAATATATACAATGTGCAGAAAATAATGAGAGTTGAGAATATTTTAATGATAACTAGTTAGATTTTAATTATGATAATTATAATTTAGTCACTCTCTTTTAGATGTTGTTTTGGTATATTTATGAAAATTATTTTATTAATAGTAATTTTAAAATTTGAGGAATAAAATATTTTTTTTAAAAAAAACACCAAACTTATTCTTTGAATGTTTATTTAGTCATTCAAGTTTCTTTATGCCTCCATATGAGGCTTAAACTGGATGCCTCCCAAATCCACTGAAATCGTCCAAGTTACCTTTTACGATGCTTAAGGTAATTAAATACATTATCTTATACAAATTAGCAGCTAATCTGACAAACCGACCATCAGAGGCTGTTGAGACAAAGGTTAGACACCACCATATGGGTCCGGAGCCATGTGATTCGAACAATAATTAAAGCAGTATAGTAATCTCTTCTTACGTCTGAGATTAAGTGCTGTGACTTTATTAATACTACAAAATCCTTGTCCAGGGAACATGTTTCTTGCAGTGTTAAGGCATGAATGATGAATTAACCTTGTCAGACACGTGGGTTGCAGATTTAATTTTCACTATTAATTATATCACCTTCTTTCAGTCTGTTCTTTTGATTCTCTCGTCACACATGGCGCTATTTGACTGGGTGTGTCGTGATGGATGTTTTGAGGATAAACAAACCAAGCATTCCCATTATACTGATTTTCAAAAGGCATATTATGTACCCAACTTTTTTCAATTTTTTAAGTCCCTGAGAAACATAAATATAATAAATGACACTCCTACAACAAAATTTAAGTGAATTACACCTTCAGGCGGATTCAGGTTGCACTTGAATCTTCATGATTAGCCTCTTGCCATGTGAAAGATATATATACTTAAAAGACACCTAATATAATTCTTAATCTCATATTATCCTGTCATCCTGGCTAATTCCAATTGGCACAAAATTTGTAAAGTTGATTAATGATTTCTTTTTTTCAACCCCAAGGTGGAAAATAACAAGAATAAACTATTCGTCAATCCCTTGGTTTAAACTCAATTATAATTTAATTTTTTACGTTTGAAAATCTTTTACTTGTTATTAAAGAAAAACTAACACGGTGAGTGTTTGGAGAATCACAAAAATATCTTAATAAGAAAACTGGGAACAAGAATCCAGATTCATAGGACTAACTTATAGATTTTTAAATATGAAAAACTATGTTATCATTGCATTCAAAAGCCAGGGACTAATGAATAATTCACTGAAAGAACAAAGATTCTCAGATAGAAGACATGTGGAAAGAACTTCTGAACTGAATATACATAGAAAACAGAATTAACAACAAAGAAAAACAAATTAAAGAATTCTTCAAATTTTCAGTTTCACTTGCTCAGTTACATCTTGTTTCTAAGACACATTGTTGCCTTTACACATACTCTTTTCTTTCCCCCTTTCTCCCTCAATGCGTTACACGGCATGGAATAAGGTCAAAAACTTCCCGGAAACCAATATGTATCTTTGCAACTTGGCAACTTAGCGTCATAGGCTTAACAAGTGTTGCTTGTTTGAAGAAAAAACATGGGCATCAACGCCCATGGTATCCCCACTTCAGTTTTCCTATAAATATAAGTCATCTTCTTGTCACATTAACACTAATTAAACTTGTTCGTCACCCTCTGATTCAATTAATGGATGTATTTATTCCCGAAGAGTATGTCATGCGGAGAAGAATAGAAAAAAGGAGAGCTGGAGTCGCAGGCAAAATGCAGGAGGAATCAAGGAACAGAAATATTGAAGAGAAAAAAGTTCAACCATCATCATTTCGGCTAGAGAATGACTTCTTGATCGACAGCACTGCCCTAAGTGAAAATGTAATCTTCAGCTGCTTCTCAGCATAGGCATTGTCATGCTATGTAAGGTAGTGTTAGTTTAACAGTCTCTATGGGTTTAGTTTTTGCTGTAACTATTTACGCCCCACGTATGTTGACATAGAAGACGTGTGTAAATATAAGGAAGTGTATGCCTAGCTAGGTAACTGCAGAGTTAATTATGTACCAAATCTCTGTAATGGGCTAGTTATAATTTAGCTTTAGCCTATTACAACTCCATTTATAAGAAAATAAAAATCGTTATCAACGAGACTTAAATGAATTTTCTGCTGTTTAATGCGAGAAGCAAGCAACTAATAACTAGCAGCAAGCAAGAGCCTAATGTGACTGTTTCATTTATCAATAGAACTGCAGATATGGTTGCAGATTGGCTGGCCATAGCTGTTAGAGGGCAATACTGCCCTTCTCATTGGGTTGCTAACCCTCCTTGTTCCGTGTTAGATCTGATTGTATCTGATTTGGGTGATTAAACGTTTCTCTTGCGATTCAAAGAAATAAACAAAGGCAAAGGTAGTGAGCTCGCGAAAATCCTAATCTAAGTAAGAAATCAGAATTAGTCACTTGCATATCTTATGTTGAATTGGGCCGTCTTGGAAATTTATGCTACCTTCGGTCATTTATGTTCCTTGGGCTTGGCAGAGGCCGTCTCTATATTCCATTGGGCTTGGAATTGAGAAAGTATTCTCCTATAAAGTATCTATTTAAGCAAGCTTATATTTGCATTGTTCCTTTCAAAAGGATACTGTATATATTTATTGCATATAAGTTTTAAACAAACTTACTGCGATAAAGATACAAAGATGTGAATATTGGATGGGGAGAGAGAGAGAGAGAGAGACCTTTCAAGTTCCAACAATTCACCAACACAATATGTTAATTACATTACTTTGGATTTCTTGGAAAAAATTTCTATTCACATTACTGTTCTAGATTTCCTAGAGAGAATCCTAGGAAATAAGTGAAAACAGAATTGACATAAAAATAAAGAGCTATCCTTGAGATTTCAATATTTAGTCAAATAAACTCATCTACTTTAACTTTGTTCAAATCGAACCTGCCACTTTCATGTTATAACGGATCGAGTCACTTAATTCAGCATATTAGTTATTCATTGGTAAATTGAAAAATGGAAGAATCAAACTGGCTGATTGGACCAAAGAGCACTAATACATAATTGATATTAATTGTAAGCGATGCATTACACAAGCGGTCAGGATGGCCGAGTGGTCTAAGGCGCCAGACTCAAGTTCTGGTCCTCGTGAGAGGGCGTGGGTTCAAATCCCACTTCTGACAGTTTTACAATTTTTTTTTTAATTATTTTTTTCAATAAAAGTTGATTGATTCTGCTAAGTGTTGAGCCCCGTTTGGCTTGGTAATTCTCATCCACAACACTAACTGTTCATTTTGGATTATTGAAGCGTCCTAACTTGACACGGCCAAATGGAGCTTTGGCAATCTTGCTAGATAGATGAGACAATTTTCTTTCTTTTCTTTTTTTTTTTTAAGGAAACATGGCCAAGGATTTTTATTTATTTTTTGGCTGATATGGCTCCTAAGCCCTGACCCATTCTTCCTTTAGTTAAATCTACCTAATTAAGCATTAAGCTTAAGGCCATATGTATACGACTCCTCTCAATGACAACGATTTCGTTTTTTTGGCATTAATTGTCTTTGAATTAATAGAACTTAAGAAGCTGTGTGAGAGAGAGATAACATATAACAAATTGAAAATGGAAAACTGGAATTGTGCTACACATGAGTTGATCGCTCGATCGATCAATTGCATCCCTAACATTGCACTTTGTACTATTTGGTACAATCAATATTTTATTATCTGCATAATTGCAAGTCAAACATATGAATATAGAAAGCGCACAAAGCATGAAAGTTAAGAAATTTAGGGCCATCTTAAGACAAGTTCTCCAGCTCGTACGTGCTGCCAATCAATTTCCTTTCTTCTCTCTCTCCGTTTTCTTCTTCTTCTTCGTTTTTTTTTTTTTTTTGATTGGATATTAAAATTAGGGAGATATTTTTTTAAAAAAAACTTATACATCCAAGGTTTGAACTTGTGACCTCTTATTATAAGAGATCACTATTACTGAATTATAAACTCTTTTATAAAATTAACAAAACTAATAAATAATATAAAACAATAGTTTATTTCTTTAATTCTGCCACAAGTTTATAATTTGAGGATAACTTAACGTGAATAAAAATGATAAATTGTCACTTTATAATGAGAATATATAATTAACGTGTGTGTAATTAATATCTAAAAAAAAAGATATATGTTAGCGCAGGGGTAAAATGAAAATCTGAATATACGTGGCTATTAATTTGCCATTGATGGGCTTAATTTATGTCAAATAGCAAAGTATGGTAACTCCAACAACTAATAGCAAATCAGTTGCCTAAGTTTGAGATTGGAAAATACTCGCTGCCATGGGGTTTGAAATGTGCATGAGAAGTCATAAAAAGGCCTAGCTAGTTCGATCCCTGGCTGCTTCCGCACTTCCCTCCTAGTTTAACCTAACTGCTTAATTTGATGGGATTCTGAAGTCAAAAACTGCATGCAGCCTTATTAGGCTGTCCATACATATACGCGGTTCTCCATAATAATTAAAATTGCAAAAAACAAACACAGTCTATATATTAAAAAAAAAAAAAAAGGCGTACATTGATATTTATACAGAATATATATAGAAGGATGACATGCTTGATTATGCCATTTTTTTTTTATTAATCAAGAATGTATTCGGTCTACATATATCTCGATCATGGGAAGTATTCGGTTGGTGATCCATTGTTTTTCACGAAAAGAAGGGTAAACGAAATAGTAATAATAATAAATAAAAACAAAAAAAGAAACAGAAACAAACTATTCATTTAATTTGGACATCTTGTGCGCTCAAATTTAGAGTTGGCATTTTGGTAATGATCAAATGATCCAAGCAAACACAGAAATAGCTAGGGCGCATATATACACCCAGCAATGTTGTTTGTTCTCTATGTATACATACACACACACACATATATATATATATATTTAAATAATTATACCAGAAAAAAAGTTGTGCATTATGTTACCTTAGGGTAGATCAAGTAGAGGAAAACATCAAGCAATTTATTTAGGGGATCGTAAAATTTAATTGTGGAAGTCTGTACTTTGAGTCAGAGGGCGGTTGGGAGCGGTGAAGGTCTTATCATTTGCTAGTTGTTTCTATTTCCACAGGATTATCCATGGAGTGGCTGGAATTAGACACCAAGTTGACCAGAAAATCAAATATATCTGTTGCTATAGCAGCAGAGGCAACATCCTCTTTGTGAAGGGTCCTCCTCTTGCCTTGGATGGTCATCGTCCAAGACCTTTTTGTTAACTCCTCAATGAAGAGCTCACATGCTTTTGAGAACACAATTGGGGCCTCACCAGATATCATCTTCACATCATTGCCGGATTTCTTCATGATCTTCTTGATTCTTGCCAAAGGCAATGAGTGAGGCCCAGTTTTTCCGGATAAACCTCCAGAAAGTATTCCCGAGTATGCTCCAGCTTGCCTCATATTGTTTTTATGTGGCCTTCTTTGACTCTAGATTATGTTGAGGTAATGATAATAATGTGAGAGAGGGAGGCGAAAGTTACAGGGAATATTTTCAGAGAAGAGGAAGTTAAAGATTGGTGTGATTGCATGAACAGAATTTTGAAGTTTAACTTATAAGAGAGGGATGAGTAAAGAAATAGGTGTCCAGGCCGGCCGGCAGCTTGCTTAGGCCGGCTACCGTCAATCTAAATATAATTTAATTGTGATGTGTATAATATTCTTCCATTTTCTTGCGTTCTAGACTTCTAGCTCGTGAACTTGTTAACGCAATATGGCAGTTATTAAACTAGCAAAACAATGGCAAAATATCAATATAAAGATTACGCGCGTAGTGAGTAAGTACCAATATGGAGTGACTGAAAAGAGAGAGAGAGAGAAAGAGAAATAGAAGAGAGGGGGAAAAAAAAAATTGAGGCGACATATATGGAAATATATTTTTTATTTTTATTTTTTGGTAGTTCTACATGTGATTTTTTATGTGTAGATGGTAGCGCTAAATAGGAATGCAAACGGTTGGGTTTTTTTATTTTTATTTATTTAACTCCACTCCAAATTAAATTCACTACGTACGTGCCATGTTTATCCCTATATACATGCTGCAGCCTAGTAAAGACATAATTACGTAGAACATATAGCTTATTACTTTGACTAAAGGAGAAGGCTTTGCTTTTATATATTTGTCACCACATACACACACCTACAAGTCACACTTTCTTTCCAAAAGTTAAAAAAAGAGCAATGCATGATATAATTAACTTGATCAGAGACAGATTCATTCGAGCCCTTGATTAATTTGTTAATATTCTTCTTGATTTTTGTCTGAGGAAAATGGGAAATGGTGATCCTCTAATAACATCAACTTCTTACGTGCAATAACGCATCTACACGCAAGGAGAAGGTAATTGAGGTATACATATACTATAAAGTATTAGGTAATTGGTTGATCAGATTTTCGATCATACCTTTCCTGCAATGAATGATTTCGAATCAGCCTACTGCTTATAATGTAGTTTTGTTGAGATTTGATCTAATCTTTATTGCATAAATAATGCTTTTACGTTCATGATTTTGTTAAATTAGTTGAATTCCAAAGGTATCAATTAGTACTATTTAATATCTTTGTCAGCGTTTTAATTTGTTATACTCACATGCTTACTTTTCACCAACTATTTAGAGTTTGTTTGGCTCTTATTATATCAGTTGTGTTGTATTGTATGTATTAAAATTAACAGAAGACATAACTTAAATTAAACATTTTTTTAAAAGAAAAAATAGAATTGTTTAAAAATGATTTTTTTTTGATATATATATATATATATATATATATATATAACATAAGTTAAAAAAAAAAAAGAATCAAAACATTACATTTTTTTTTTTATAAAAAAAAGTAAATAGAAATATTAGAAATTTTAATTAAGAAACACAATAGTAGTGTGCATATATAAATCAAGAAAATAAAGGAAGTAACAAACAAAAAAAAAAAAACATTAAATAGGCTTTTTAAAGTAAATAAACTATTAACATTACAAGAAATTAAGCTTTAGCAACGGATTTTTTTGTTGTTAAACCTATATATTTCATTTTTATATTTCTTTAGGGATGGAATGATGACAAAAAAAAAAAAAAGTGTCAATATGGTACTTGTCACTAATAATTTTAATAAAGAAAGTTAGCATCCGTTGCTAATTTAACGACGAGTTGACGACCGAGATGTCATTATAGTGAAGTATGTCAATTGCTAATATGATGAAATTAATAACGAACATGTTGTCGCTACAAAAACTTTTTTCCGTTGCTAACGTGACTATAAATCACCGACGGAAATTTCTATCGTCAATGAATATTTTATCGCTAATGTGATGGAAATAACCGATGGTTTTTGTATTTGTCCGTCGGTTATTGATGTAATTTAATATTTTTTTTGTTGTTAGTCGATCATTGTTTCATCGCTAATATAAAAAATATATCTTTTAATTCTTTGTTCATCTTACTTTATAATAAATTTATTTATTTATTATACAATTTATTTTATTTAATTATATTCATTTTTTATGTGCTAATAACAACATTTATGTCTATGATTTTGCTAAGACATGAGAGAAATCATCTCTGCAAATAAAAGAAGCCAATAGTTTCAGAACCAATAAACATTAAGGAGCTGTCATGTAACAAAATGGTGGACAAGATGCTTACAAAAGTGCTAACACAGCATTTGGTAGTAAACAAAACCCACTTCTCTTCAAAATTACAATGCATATAGGTGAAAAAATCAAATATAAAAAAACTTGCATAAATATACTCTTCTGTGAGTTCAGCAGCACAGTGATGGATTCAGTTATCTAGCTCATCATTCTTTGTACAAGCATAAGTCAAGATTTGATTTATCACTCTAACTTTGCCAGAGGTATCAAATAAAATGAGATTTCTTGAGACTAAAGATATATAAGTAAATGATGCTATCTGTATAATTCATAAGGATTTTCCTCTGGTGGTCCCAAAAAGCCCCGTTTGAAGTTAGAATGACCAGATGAAGTAAAACACCACATTCTTTCTGCTGACTTAAAGCTTCTCGAATTCCACTGATGTGCATCTAGTAATCTCTGTCACTACATCAGCCTGAATCCTGGGCCACATATAATATTTGTGTTTCCCAACGAGAATACAAATACTGGACCTGTTTATAAATTACACAACATTACTTAAAATTGGAACTAGCTGGTTTTATTATATTCGGGTTTTTAATTTTTCTGTATAAAAAGAAAAGAAAGGAATGAGTATCTTGTAAGTTCCATACCAACAAACTTAACTTTCAAATGATTACTCTATTATCTGAACACTCTCTCTCATATTTTCTAGAACAAGCAAAAAGATCACTAGAGGGCTTATGGATGTTAGAAATCACCTCCAAACCACCTTAAATAGAGTTCATAGAATAAGAAACAGAACATGTTAGCTGATATGTTAAAGAAACAATATATGACATTGTCAGTTCATCTAAGAAAAAGAATTATATTAAGACTGCTGAATAGGGTCAAGTGTCCTCAAGTAAATTAATTATTCAATGTAAAATAGATGTAATTAATGGAACATATTCTAAAAAGTTTTCAGAGATAATTTAAAATTTAAGACATTGATACTATACCTTCAAATTCAAGAGGAAGGGAGTATTCTAAACTAACCAAAAACGCTAATATGTTAAGGGTACTTGTGCGTGCTCTCATGAGTGTGTTGTGCATTTCCATATGTTCATTCATTCAGTTTAAGCTCACATAAATCCAACCCTGCAAAGCAAAAGGGATTAAATTGATTTGCCAGTCATGGTGCTTTTGTATGTGCTCATGCATTCAGTGTAGGCACACATAAATCTCCAAAACTGCAAAGCAAAAGGGATCAATTTGATTTGCCAACCATGGATCTATGGCTGGCAAAAGCTGGCAAATCAAAACTCTTTTTCAATTTTATAAACAGCAAGCCATCTAAATGAAACTAGATGACCTGCAAAATTATTTTGATTACTCATTAAAATACCCACAATCTGAAAGATAATTATAATCATGTAGGATGAAGGTACTCAATCAGTGCACATATTTGCGATCAGCTATAAAACCACTTTGCGAGTGTTTACGACTTCTCCATGTGATCTCAAGTTAGTAATCTTAGAAGCAAAGTCCATTTGTATAGAATTAAATCATCCACTTCTAAATGTTTTCTCTTTGTTAATCTTTTAAGAGTCACACATGACATCCGATTAGATGAATATGACCAAAACCAAAATAAAATCCCAAATACAAAATAAAACCCAAAAAGCTTAGGATGGCAACGAACTGCAACTAACGCGACAAATGACATTGCCCTTAGCAAAATGGTGTTTGGTATACGTGGAACAAATGTAGACTCGTAAGATAATTAAATATGCCTAAACATATAAATGTAAAAAAAATTAATAAGATATATATCTCCTATCATTATTGATTAAGTGCTCAAGATATTGCTAAAACAAAGCTGGAGCCGTCAAAGAGAGAGAGCCTTTTAGTCTATGCCAATACTTTAGTGTTTTATGTGTTGATGAAAAACACGAGTTTTACTTAGTATTTATATGGCTAGACTAGAAATCCTTTCTTTAACCTAATTTTACACCTCCATCCATCATGGACGTGCCTAGCCTACCACTAGAGCCCATTAGGCTCTAAATCCTAATTATCATTTATAGATTTAAAACAAAACATGACACATGGGCCACATTATAGGAATATTTCTTACATTCTCCCACTTGGCCCATATGACACTACCTAAAAATGACAATTTCTTTATAGAGTCTAAAATGATTAGTTAGCGTAAACACTCATACTTAGATTAAAATTATAATATATGAATCATAACGGTCATTCTTTATAACTAAGCACTTCCTTCCACGTATTACAATATATTACATCCTTAAAAAAAGCACTTAATGAGCAATTAAACTTTATGAATGAACTTCTAATAAGTCATTTGAGTTCAACTTTATATATCAAAAGGAATATAAAATTAATACTTTATATGCATAAAAATCACAATAATATCTAAGAACAACTTAAAATTTGTCTAGACAATCAATGAAAGAAAATGAAGTCAAACAATAAGCGGGTTAGCTAGACCCATACGATTCACATGATTTCTATATTGTTTTGTTGGCATTGCTTTAGTCATAGGATCCGTAATCATTAGCTTAGTGCTAATATGCTCAATGAGCACTTCATGTTCCCTCACTTTCTCTCTCATAATGAGATACTTTATATTGATATGCTTATTTTGGCTTTCACTTTTATTATTTTTAGAGAAGAAAAACGCCTCTAAATTGTCACAATATATCTTTACAGGTCTTGATATGGAATCAACAATTTGTAGACCGAAATAAAATTTCTTAACCAAATAGCTCGTGTCATTGCTTTATAGTATGTAATGAATTCCACTTTCAT